TGACAATTTAAATTAAACTGAAAATAATAAGTTTTCATTTGATATATTAAAGAATAATTTATCTAATCAATTCAACAATTAAAAAAATACTACTAAATAGAAGAATATCCGTTAATTTTATGAAAAATATCTGGTAAAAAAATATTATGCTAACAGAAAAGTTGTAGGATGTAAAATTCTAGAGAGCTATCGAAAGCTTAGAGTACGAGAATATATAATCAACAGTTATTCTTTGTATCTATATCTTGATTGTGGTTAAAAATTATCGTAATACTATTTAAAAATAGCAGAAAAGATACAAAAATCTATATCAGATTTCTAACTGTATTTCAGATACAAGATTTTGAAAAAAACCTCGTAAACCTTTCGGTGAACAAAACAAAAACTCGGTTTATACTTATCAAAACTTTGGTTTGTTGATACTGAAATTTGTACTCTGAGTTACTTTCTTTCTTTCTTTCAAAACGTATCTGGCAGTCTCTGCATATATATCTAAAGAGAGAAATCAGTTTTGAAACACGATGGATGAAGGAAATATTTTATTTTTTCACAAAAAGATCGGTCATATCTGTTTCCAATTAAAATGAAATTTTCTTTCATACAGAGACTTCATTTCCGTGAATCGCTTGGCTAAAATAAACAAAATTTTAAGTATCCGGAATTAGGAAATGGACCTTTCCATATATGTATATGCTTTCATAGACAATAATTTTTTAGGGAAACAAGTCAGCCAAATTACAGAGTACCTTATGTTAGATTCCAACCTGCCTATAATGCTTTGAATTTTGGACAGGTAATATTAAAGAGTGAATTCTCTTCTTATTTTCAATAGTCGCTGTCGACAATAGAAACCCTTAAAAGTGGAGGGTTTTAAAAGCCCATTAGTGAACTAATATTCATCGTTGTGTAATCTGGTTATTATTGTTCGATTCTATATAGAACCCTTTGATGAAATAATGTGTTTGTCTATACTAGAGAGTATTTGGTTTCTAGAAGTCAAGGTCAATAATAAATCAATATTATTGTTGCTTTAGCGACGTAGAATACTTATCGAGTAGTTTTGGAGAATTGGAGTGTGGACCCCACTGATGAGGAAGATGATTACCAAATATATCTCTACAGACCGGGAGTTAAAAGAAAGTGCGTTTTAGCTGAAATTGTTCATTTCCTAGCCGCCTTTTTAAAACGAAGAAGGATTCAACTTTCCTGTAGGCGAAATCTCACTAAGTATGCGTAGTCTATGCTAGTATTCGGTCTTGTCTTACCGACAAACTTCGTGATCTTTAAGCCCTTATTTTGCATGTTGATTTTAAAATAAGAACGAACTAAGTGCCAGACCTACAAGTAGAACAAAGTTTTCCACCTTGAAAAATATCGTTGTACATATATGCAACAACTACACTCAGCTGTGAGCGTTCAGATTTGCACTGCTCCGCGAAAATGACAATTTTGATTGGCAACTAAAACACGCGGCAACGCTAAAGCCGAGCCGAGCAGCAAAGTCAATTAAGGAAATTTTAATGCAACAACAACAGCCACGTAACGGTAGAACTGCTGAAGGTAGATAAATTGCTGATTACCAAAATACTTGTAATGTGCCCTTCAACCCTCGTTTTATGCTTTACAGTTAGCCAATTTGCCAACTAATTAACGTTGCACTAATTAAAATTACCAAATAAAATGTTTTGACAGCAGCGTTGCATTTCTACACGATGTGATGGCTCATGCCAGCGTTATAATTGTGTACAATAACGGCTTCCGACTTAATTGGCCTGACACACGCCCACAAATGCTGTTTTTTGTTGTTGCAGTTGTGTTTTTTTTTGTTTCAATTCAGCGAGTTTATTGTTGTTGCTGATTTTTGTTGGTGACATTTGACATTGGTTGCTGCTGTGTGTCAGCTGGCAACACCGACAAATAACGATGACAACTGGTTGGCTGCTGGATGGCTGGCTAACCACAATGGCAAGGACCTTCACACACAGCCACATCCACACGCTCACATAACCACACACACACACACGAATAGTGATAGCTATGCTGGGGTATTCAAAAGTCAGTGATTGTTGCGGCTTTCACCTGCATGTAACGCAATTTATTTGTGTGCATATCTCTGTCTGTCTTTCTGTGTGTGTGTGTGTGGCAGAGTGCAAATATTTTGCTGCAACAAATTGCAACGTTGATTGACTGTGGCCACAGTAAATTAACACTGACATTTCTTTGTGCGCCAGGGCAGACAGCTGGGTTGCTTCGTTTGGACGTGTTTTGATAAGTCAACATTATGCCACATCGCATTGTAAATTCCAGTCAGTTGCATGTATTGTTGCCAGTTATCTACTATTGCCGGAATTTCTATCGTCCGTCGTATTGTTTGTGTTATTAATTTTATTAAACTGGATACAATTTAAATTATCATTAATATTATTGTCTTGTGCAAACCAAATTCGCATTTATCTAAATATTTGTTATAACCGTTGCATATTTCATAAAATAATTTTTTGCGCGAATAACGCTGGAAAAGCAATTAAAAATTAATGGTCAACGACACGCAATCAAACACAAACATACACTCGTACATGCATGTGTGTTATGTATGTGTAACTCTATAGAATCGCACGCGAAATTGCGGCATTGTCACTAGGCCTAATTTAATGTTCATATTTACTGTTCATTTTAATTATGCAAAACTATTTATGTTTGCTTTATTTGGTGTGCTCAACTATTGTGGTAGGATACCTATATTAAAACATGAATGAATATGTTTGGAATCCAACAGAGGGAAGGCAGTCAGCATATTGCGAAAAGGGGTGTGATGAAAGTTTTTAAAAATGTTATATTGTATATTGACCTTTTTATTCAACAAAAAAAAGAGTAGAAAAGTGTTGGAAATTCATAAAGTAGTTATCTGGGTGCTTGACCAACTTCTAATACATTTTATGAATTATTTGTGTCGTTTAAAATGTTTTGCATAGGGTTAGCGACCCTGTTAGGGAACTCGCTCTAACCGAGACCACCAAATTATCAGCGAAGGCCACTACATATTTCTAAAATATATATTCACTTAATTTTGTTAAGCTGTCTACATATTATCCGATATTTACGGTATAAAGTCAACTGGAAGTTTGAAAATCCTTATATTGCGTATATGGATGCTGAACCGATTTTATTCATTTTTCACACCAGTACGCATTGGGTTTGACATTTCATTGATATATCTCACAAACAAACTATTAGTTTGGATATAAAGCCAGTTAAAGGCATTATGGCCGATGTATTCGGTGTCAGGGGCTTGAAAAGTTATAGATTTCGACCAATTTTAGAGTAGAGCAACGTTTGTCCCTTATACTAAGTTTTATCTGCTGTAATTTACAATAAAAGAATCTGATGGAGATCAGAATAGTGCCATTTAAGCAGTAGGGGTATTTGTAGTCAATTGAATCTTCAAACTGAGGATTTCAAAGTATGGTTGCATTCGGTTCATATAGGTTCAGCAGTTGTTGAGATATGACATTTCACCTATAATAGGTCGTTTGCTCAATTTATTTAGTAGGCTTGATATGAATGATAAAATTTTTAAAGCCAAATTACACGATATTATTTTTAGATTTATGACAATTTTAGTCGCTCCCTAATATTTATGTTAGTTACTAGCTACTAACTTTTTATTATCTAAAATTTTAGATATTTTACTAATAGAGCTCTGCTATTTTTTTTCTTGAATGCTTTATTGAGTTGAAAGTTCTATATGACAATTTGAAATCATAGAAGACAAATGCCGAAATTCTTGTGGTACTATTAATATTTACTTTTTTGCACTTGTAAAGAAAAATTGAAATGTAAATTGGTAAACTAAAAGTTAGGATCAACCAAATAAAAGTATTTCCAGTAACAAATCATTCAATCAATCTGTTAGTTTAAAATTATTTCATTTTTGGTTTATCTAATATTTTATTTCATAACATAATCGATGTGGAATTAAGAGCTTTTTTTGAGTACATTTATATATTCGCTTAATTCAGTGGCTAGTGAATCGAACAAGTAACTGGTATAAATAATACATATAACGTATAGTTAGACATGGTAGATATATCATTTCTAGCAGTTATGCTAAATTACAGGTATCCTCTAACACTCCTGAGTAATTTAACTATTAACTTGGATATTGCACTCAAGTTAAAATGTTTGAGCTCAAACAAAGCGAGCACAAAGATGGTGAATTTAAGATGGTTCTTATACCAATCATCACATGAAGCAATAGCAAAAATGTCTAGAGTGTATTGGTAAATTTCTTCCTTTGGAATGGCTTCAAAGCATTTGAAGTTATAGCGCTCATTATGAGTCGTAAAATTTTAAAATCATCTACCATTCATAAAGTTCAAACGTAAGTAATTTTCTGAATAAATAAGAATGTTATTCATTACAAAAACAACATTAACTGTTAAAAACTAAAGTTAAAGTGAAGATGCTACAACCGTTGTTGATACTACAACCGGCTTGTGTCATGCAATATGTTTATCTATGTTTGATTTAAACAGAATCAAGTTAAAGTTGACACAACTATGACGAGTACAATCTGTGACAGTTCTTACAAGTATGTACACACATACATGCATAAATATATATATGTAAGTGGGTAAGTGCGTGTGACAACGTAGGTTAACAGTAAAAATAAATAAAGTACCTGAAAGTCAATATTAAATCTTGAAATTAACAGTATTAAAAGAGATGTCAAACAAGTGGAAGAGTTACTAGACTTGCTACTAAAGTTTGTATGCGATGGTTGTGGGGTGTGACATATGTGTGTACACATAATATATTGAGTACGGTAATTAACCTGAATCTTTCTTGGGGAGAGGGAAGTTGACATAATGTGTATAGGGAATACAAACTAAAGTAGTGTAAAATAACCTCTCAATTAACTTTGAAGTGCAGAGAGCTTAGACTCGTGCAGAAAGTGGGAGCATTGGTCTTGGTGAAGATTATAGACTTCTCACACTTAAGAATACACGCATGTTTGCTGGTAATTGAAGCTTATAACTTTTTTTTTAATTGTTAATGGTTGTCAACAGCATCTGTATAGTTGGACATTCGTATGAAGCTTGAGGTGGAAGTAACACGGTGAGTACTGCAATCGAGATTTGTAAATTGTGCAACAACGAAGTTAAATGGGTGGAAAAAGTGTTGCGAAAAGTGAAAATTATAGAGCGAGTAAAAGTATATTGATGTAGAGGGAAATTTATCATATATATGTAGTGTTAAACAGTGTTAAAAATCAATGCATGAACGCTCTGCGAGGATATCTGGATTTGCGATAAACTGAATTGATTTGGTAGAGTTGAATAATTAACTGTTTGCTATTAATATGTGTAGTGAATTTATTATATAGATATGTAATCTAACATAGCTTTATTATAGCGATCGTCCAGATCTTTCATACCATCAAAGACCACTGGTTAGGGGATCACCCCTTCATGTCACTTTTTGAATTCCGTTAACATGAAAGAGTTAGTGATAATACATTAGATGTTGAAATAATTTGAGCCAAATTCAAATTCATAGATTTGTGACATGAAGAAACAGTCAATGTTGTGCAAGCGTAACACCCACTTTGTCCAATACGTTTCTTTGATATCTTAACCATATACCAAATTCTACGGTTATTCAAAATAATTTTGTGGAACTTTTGATGCTTCGTCCGTAGTCATATAGTTGGACGTCTACTGCGTTCTTTCTCCTCGGTGCTTATGTGATCTCTGCAAGTTCCATGCACGAATAGTTGCTTCGCCTGGGTCAAAGATTAACGTATCAATACGTATTTTGGTATCAGCAAAATTATTATTGTAAACATATTGTATTTCATTGGTCACTTGAAATTCTATATTTCATGGACGAATCTACACTTTTATTATGATTTTTAGTCTAACTACAAGATATATGTACATATGTAATTCTAGTGGCGACTGTCTAACTCCCTCATAGAAACGATATAATATTTTCCACCTGCCTGGTACAACCATTCCAAAACCATATATCTGAGAAGAACAGAGGACTCTCTAGTAAATTTTTTGTAGTAATTATGTTACGAACCTGTAGAACAAACGGGGCGCGTTTGAGAATGCTGCCCTGATGTTTTTGTTTCGACCTTAACCAAAATCAACAAGTTCCTTTATCTTGGTGCCGATAGTATTAATTCTTCGGAAGTTAATTCATCAAGCTTCCGAATTTCCTCAGTTAATTCGTGGGCAAGTTCTTTATTTATTGTATAGTTTACAAGCACTTTCCAATAGTTTAAACAGGTCGAATAATGCTACCAGCCGAACCTAACAGACGTTGACTAGGGACCGTCGCTCATAGATTTTCTTATTACCCCTCATACGCATACACACTTCTATGAGGCGGTGTTGACTCACCACAGTTCTAGGAACATCGACGGATCTTATGTCTAACGGTAGTTCTTTTATTACTTATATTATTAAACACTTGAGTATATATGCGATGGATTATGTATTTTAATTTAAAGAATTATGAAAAAAATTAATTTTTGAACGAATTCAGGTAATCTCTTCTAAAAATCTCAAATGATCTTTTAATGTATAATATAATTTAAATATTTTTTTCAAAATTATTGACGAATAGTGAGCACTGGAACCTAAGGAGATTATGGATAATAGAGGTGATGTCGGGCACATATCACTTACTCTATTAACGCTGAATCTTCATAAACATATTGCTTAAGAGACAAACTCAAAACAAACACAATCTAACATAGCGTAGCACAGCATAGCGTAACATAGCATTCAGCAACGTCATTACGAAGGCCGCAACGAGCGAATTAATACGAAAGATAAAGTGAAAAATTGCCAGCGCACAGTGCAATCAAGTTGAATTTAAAGTGCAACTCTATGACTATTGCACTGTGCTCCTTGCATGTGAATGTTTGTGTGTGTGTGTGTGTTAATGTGCGAAAATTACTAATTACCGCGTACGCGCACCAAACCAATCCAAATAAAAAAACGAAGCGTATTAAACTAGCTTGAGCGACAACAACAATAAAAGCTGTTGCAAGAAAAAAGCAACAACAACCGCTATAGCAACGCAACGCATCAGTAGACGCGACAAATCGTAACAATATATCAAATATGCCGTATTTTTCGCACTCAAGTTGCCGTCAGCGCCAAAAGTAGTGTTGCTAATGTTGCAAGTTGCACTCTATTGTTGTTGCTGTTCCTATTTGCTGTCCCATTGCCAGTGGCAACAACAAAATCGACAAAAGCGACGGCGACGGAGATGGAGTCGGAAACGGCGGCAACGGTAGTTAGTTAGCTGCCTGCATTGCCTGCAAAATGTGGCAGTCGGTTGTTTGTATTTGTTTCTGCCGGCAACGAATTTAGGTGAGCCCAGAAGGATTGTGAGTATGGCGATAGGGACGACCTCATTCGCAATGTATAGCTTATGTACTGGCAGTTGCATGCTGTGTGTGTGTGCATGTAATGTAACGCATTAGGGTGGTACTGAAAAAAGTTTGTATTGAGTTTTTTTTTAAATATATTTGTAACTCTCTTAACCTTAATAGACGTGGCTACAGTCGAATATGCAACGTTTAAATAATTCTGGTACATTTTTTCCAATATTGAAAAATTTAACTTTGACCTCGGGATCATGTCTTAACGGTGGGCACTCACACACATGACACATGAATATAGCACACAAAAACAAAAGTACCATATTAGTATCGAAAAATGAGAACAAAACTTTTTTTTCAACTACTAAGCACCGCCCTTAAGCATACATACCATATATTCATGCGTTTTGCTGTTCTCCTTGTAAATTTCCAATGCATGCGGTTTTCCTTTGTTTTTACATTTTCGTTGTACTACTCTTGTTATCGCTTTCTTCTACTTAGTCTTCTTCTAGCTGCATTTGTGGCCGCTCACTGACAATTTGTTGCTGTTACCTAGAATTATGTTGCTCATTATTTCTGCGTAATGTTGTTGTGGTTGAATGCGTTGCTTTTATTATTGTTCTTATTGTTGCTGCTGCTGTTGAAAATTTAGCTGGCCTTGCTCGTGATAATTTCTTTTATTTAATTTTTTTTGTTTTGTGATTTTAGTTAATTTCTCTTTGGTTCCATAGCTCCGTTATTTTGGCCACAATTTGTTGGAATTTAAATTCATTCCTTTTAGTTGTTGCTGAAATGATTAATTAACGTGGTTAAAGTGTTGTAGACACAAAAATGTGTAATAAAATAGCATAAGGGAAGGACACTGAAACCTTCGAAATTTCTAAACATTAAAATATTTCTTCGAATTTTCTCAGATTCGTTTTAGATTATGGGGGTTCAGAATAACAAGTCTTAGGAGTTTATGTGGCAGCGCTTTCACTTTTACTTTTTTGTAGTTAGGTTAGGTTATGTTAATAGGTCGATCCCAACAGGGGTCTCACTTCGACAGAACGTCGGTTGTGGTACCTAATACTCTTATATAATAGATCATAAGACCCTTACAAATCGACAAAGCGCATCACAAATTTGTCGGGACGGCTAATGTCAGTTTCGACTATGTCTCCTGGTTCGTCGGAGATAAGACTACCGAGATGTTTTAGCCTCAGTCTTGCAAAGGCTGGACAATGGAAAAGAAAGTGCCTGTATGTATAGCGTCCGACAAGATTTTTGGCTTTACCGCAAGAATGCCTATTGGACAGTATCCAGTAAGAATCCGAAGTAGTTCAGGGCATGGCAAACAGTTCAGTAGTCCTGCGTTCTAATCTAGGCCAACCGATCTCGGGGTCTGAACCAGAACTATAATAGTTACAGTATTAACAAATTCAAATACTTCTTTCTTGCAGCTCTCTTTAAATCTAACTTTACTGAAGTGGTGTCACAAATCGACGTTGCCGCCAAAGTAGAAGGGTCGATAATGCGTTTGGAAACCTTTGCCTTTATTTTATTTATAGCAACAGCGGCCGTAAGCTGTAGCAAAAACAATGACCATATTAAAGAATCGATTAAATTTCGAAATAGCAGTCAGGATGAGCTAGTAAATCGCCAAACAAACAATAATGATGAGTTCGCTTTAAATAATAGTGAAATGTATAACATAAACCACAACAACAATCCATTAGGCAGTGTTATAATCATAAGCAACAGCTCTACTGTGGTTGTCTCTAGCGAAAATAGTAATATCAGTGAGAACAAGAGCTATGATCACAACGAATTGACTTACTCAGATGCTCTGCCAAGTACATACAGAAGGCTGCCGCACCATCAGAGAGCGATTGCCGCAGTTGCTGAGAAGAGAGGGTTACTAAAGAGCTCAGATGGTGAGCGTATCTTACGACGTGGCAAAAGATACTTACAATTCGCTAAAGGTTCACGTGTTTCGGTAAGTAATTAAGTAACTGTGAATATAAATTCTTTCATAATATCTGCTCAGTCAACGCAAGTCCACATTACATTTTTATCAAATGTAATCCTATTAAATATTTGTCTCCTGAAGTAGTACTAGATGATAGGCTCGCTGAAATCTGTGTGCTTACCATCTGATAATATTTGACCTGGCTGACAAACAAAACTACATTTTCACGTAAAATGCTTCACGTCTCGTTTGATGAATGTAGGCTACTCAGCTATGTTGTCAATCATCTTTTTGGCGATCTCTACTCGATATCGTTTTTACAAAACCTATTAATCTAGCAAGAAATTTTATATCGATTCCGTTTTCGCGTGCAATTTGAATGGACCCATCCGGGTCAAAGTTGATCAGATGGTAAACTCTAACTGTCTATATTTTAACCTTAATCGAGGTCTCCACACAAGGCGGTCAGCATATTTCACGCATATTTTCTGATTGTATTTGGAGCCCCTTGAATTAATGATATTTTTCTTCGAAGTATAACTACATTTTGTATTGTTTAAACCATTCTAATATCAACTTACATCTTTACCTCAATTATTTTTTTAATATTTTTTTTAAATACATTTTTATTAATTTTATTTTCACAATTTTCTTTATCAAGTGGCGGACAAATGGTAAAAATAATATCCTGAATATCAATACTCTTTGGGCTTATGGTTATGGATTTCGTGTTAATTTTCCCTTTCCCGGTCCTGATGACTCACGTCGTCCATTCTTTAAACGCGATGTGCTACATTCACTCGAGGATGTCCTCAATGGGTTTGTATATTTGGATAATTCAGATTTTTATTACTCATTAAATTTTGTATTTTAGACACGGCTTGGATGGTCGCGCTTGTGTTTTGAAGTCTTATTGTACTGCAGTTTTGGATGTGGACTCTAATATTAGTGGCGGTATGCTTTATAAAATGCTGAAGCTGATTTTTACGTAAGTAAATTGAGTGTGAGTTTTTATTGTTTAATGGAAAAATCGATGGCTATACGTGGTGGGTTTTTAAACTTGACACATATAGGGCCGTTCATAAATTGAACAACTGATATTAGCTTTTTCGATTCATCAAAAATGATATCCAAATAAGTCGAAGAGGCCTTGCGGTATTTCTGATCGAAAATGGTCGAAATTGGTTTGTACCTTCCCTTACCTCTTACATATATATATATATACTCATACCATTGATTTTCTAATGTATACATCAGTTACTTATACCATAAAGATAGTCGAACCTATCTTTCTTAATTTGCACTGTCATTTGCTCAATTTAATGAACTTGGTATTACCATAAAATGTTAGATTATCAAGTCCTTCTCTTCGGTTTTTATTATTTGAGTTGTATATGTATGTACATCGATAAATGAACACTGTCGTTATATTTTTTTAAATTTATTAATTACTAAGCTGGCTCTAAGTACTTAAGTTTTTTTTAGATAAATATTTCTAATTTGCTGAAATATATAATCTGACATCCAAAGTGTGCTTAGGTCATAACATAATTTAAAGCTTGACAATGCTATTAGTGTTGAGTCTGTCAATTTCATAGGCATTTTCATCATTGCAGTTGTCATATAAATTGAAAGGGCACTTAACGCTTTTGAATTAAAATAATAACTATTGCAGAAAACGTTTGGAGTTCAGGTGAAGTATGCATGAAAATGTTTATGCTTGGCCAAGTTTCTCACCAATTTATGTTCCGACTATTCATATGCAAATGAAAACTCGCTGCTTACAAAAGTTTGCTGAGAACTTTTTTATTTTAAAGGGTCGAAATTAGTTTTCCCAAGAACACTATTAAAAAAATGTTCTATAACTTCAATCATTATCCTTCAGTCGGGCATTGAACACACGACTATTGATTAGTAATCGCATACTTGGTCCTCTATTTTATGGCGATTGAGCTTTTGTAACTCAAAAAATTAAAATTAATTCTTTTTATGATCTTCATGTATATTTATATGTATATGTACTTTTACCATAAAGTACATATATTTATATAACCGTTCAATGCATATCATGTGGAAAATATATTTCCGTTGTCACAGAAGTAGCCTTACCACAGCTATCACTACATTATGAGTATTCTGATCAACTTAAACCGTATATATATATATACTTATATAGACATATACATATATAAAGGGTGCTGTTTTACGAGATAGATCTTAGAGGCGATTTCCTAAATCAATGGGTGTCAAAGTAGACACATATTTTTGACATAAATGTTTAACATATATTTTAGCAAACTATCATTGCGTATTCTGACATCAAATTTAAAAATTGGTGTATTTTATTCTCAACAGTTGAGTTTTCTGTGACAAACTTACAGAGAATTTTGTGCACGTCACGAGTACGTTTCCTATCTAACGTGCCGCATTCGGAGTATGAATAATCCTGAACACACGCTTTAGGCTTTCTTGTGTTCAACAAAAAAAAAAAACAATTAATGTTGGGAGTGGCTTGCACGATGGAGTCATTATGTGTCTGTGCTTTTGTAGAACTGAAGAAACCAAATCAAATTAATAATGATATTTTTGTTCCACAGTATAACAATGTTTAAATGCTTAATGATTCCGGCAGAATTGTGGAACAAGCCATATATCACTTGAAACCGTTACTTATTTGGGACGAAACTTCGACTGACCCAATCCTATCGAGAGACGGAACTGCCAATTAGCAAATAGGGTCATGTGATTTTACTTGATTATTTTTCTTTTTATAGCAGCTCGGCAAGTTAATCATCTAGACTGATAATTAAGACTGTTCAATTGGAAAACGGTATTCAGAACAATTCATTTTCCATCCTTATCGAGTTTAGTCGAAAAATTAATGGGCAGGTAATTGAAATCGACACACTATGGTTTTCGTTACATACAATCAAAGTATACATGTCTGAAATTTTCTCCAGCCCTAAATTTTATACAAGTTTGAAGCAGTAAAGCTATTGATAATTTTATTAATCTTTCTTTTTCTTTTATCTGAAATAAAATTTGCTACCTTTAAATATTCACCCTTTATATGCAAATACACCCACTCATATTGGTTCATATACGTATATTCTCACGTCATTTGCCAAGTGTAAGCACACAGACACAACCAAATTCTCCTAGAATCAACATTTCGCGAACTCGTTGGCATCGTAAAATGTAAACTTACATAAAGTGAATTTTTGTGCAACGCTTTATTTTCAATTTAAACCAATTTATTTTAATTTAATGACAGCGCAACATGGCAAGGACAAAAAACCCGAACGAGCGTAAAGCACATAATGCCATTCGGGTAAAATGTGTTGTTAAGGGGATGCGCTTTTAAATTCGGCAGACACTCAACTCAGTCACAACGTGTACAACAACAAAACAATTGAACAAGAGACTGCAATATTTGAAAGTGCCGCGAAAGTGTTATGCCATGCAATGTAATTCAAATTGTTAACCGACTGTGTCGTGTGTGCGTGCAACGACGTTGATGGCTTTTCGATGTCTGGCGGATTTGGTTTATTTGTTAATTCGCTCAGGATATAAAATATATAAATTTTTTTCATTCTTTATTTCAAGGTTATATTGTATATTTTGTTGTTATTATTTTGCGGCTTTTGCGACATTGCCAATTGCAGTAAATCCCAGTGGCAATGGTTCTGCCGTGCTGTTCAGGAAGTGTGTTGTAAGAGTAATTAAACAGTCAAAAGATATTGGCTAATCAGGCAAAATTTTAAATAAATTTCGTAGCATATTAGACAGTCGAGAGTATGTCATTAAATTTTGGTACATATTTTTGGTACATACATATGTATACCGATTATGGCGATCTTATAACTATCGCTACGATTTCTGTAATATGAATGGTCCTTTAGTTCAAAAGCAGTCTCAACCTCGGCGATTACCTCTTAATTGTCGCAAATTTTTTTTTCCAGCGAAAATCTCTTGAATTCTGTTAAGAAAAAGTCACTCGCGAACCGATCCGAAGGATACGGCAGAAAAACAATTTGTTTCACTATTTTCCAATTGCTTCATTACTCACCGTCGATAGTAAGCACGCGAGGCACTCACTTGTCAAAGAACTTTCGGATCACAAAATATTCCTGAACTGCATATAGCTGCCATACAAATTGTACGATCAAAATCAAGTGCTTGTATAGAAAATTTTTCATTTGACCAGATATATTCACGAAATTTAGCATGGATTATTATCTAAAGCAAATGTTTAAATCGGATCCCTATAACATATAGCTGCTAAACAAACTGAACGATCGGAATCAAGTTTTGATAAGAAATCTTTTGTATTTGTGAAGGGTATAGGTTTTAAGTGCAGTGAAAGGGATTTTTGTTCCGGTCGTCAAATTGCTAACGGGATAGAGCTCCGCTGTTTTCATTCAATTTAACATTAGGCGGCGGAGATTTGGAGTACAGCAACTGTGTTGGTTCTAGAATACGAAAGAGTTGGTTCAGCTTTTATAAGAAGGAAGAAAGGAATGAAGAAGAGTACACATAACGTGAGAAGTTGAGGTGTTCGATTTTAAGCAAGCAGAATAGGATTCAATAAAGAGTAGCGGGATTGAGAGCAGCGATAACACTCTTAAAAATTTCTTGCAAAATAAAATCAAATGGCTTTGTAAATGGAATTAAAAAAGTAAATACACGTACTAAAATTTTCTGCTCTTGAAAGTATGCTATTTTTAACAGTTTAAAAATTCCTACATACTTTTAGGCGATTATTTACATTTTTTAATTCTTTTATTTAATAACAAATTCAATACATGTAAATAAATTATTTTATAAATTTTTATTATATATTTATATTTATTTACTTATTTCTAAACAAAAGTGTCAATAATTTTTAATTTCAAATTTAATATTTACAGCTTGCATGACCACGACAAACGCCACTTCTCCTATCTACGCCTAGAAAATTGCAGACAAATTTTACATAGCCATTGTCCCTTGAGTTTCGACAGCATATCGCCATATACCGATGATGTTTGAGGAAATACAAGTGCAATACAATAAATTGTACGCACAAATGTTTGATTACGTGTAAATAAGAGCTGCAATAAATTTGTTATTTTTTGCAAAACCAAATTAATTTTCACTATTTTCATCACAAACGTGATGTGATAAATCAACACAATTACTTATGCACACACACGAAGGCAAAAATTAAACAACAGTAAACGGTTTTTTAGACAACAAAAAACCTATAGCCTATTTATGGGCGTTGAAAAGCCAGCAAAGTACAATAAAATGGAATATATATAAATGTATGTGTAGGTATTGTTGTTGTTTATTTTTTGCGGTTAATCAATAAATGTGCAATAGTTTGAAGGTCAACGGGCATTTTTTCTTGTTGTTGTTAACGAATTACAAAAAAAATTCAATTTGTATATGTGTACATTTTGTGTGCTTTATGCTTTTGGCGAAATGACAAATTAATTTGCTGCATGTTAAAAGCCAAGTTGATTGAAAATAAACAATACTAATGGCTTATATTTGTTTTCGCAGATAAATATATGTATAAATACATGATTTGTTCTGCAAAGTTTTTTTTGTGGTTATATATTTCGAGGAATATTTCATATATGTATTTATTGGCATACATTTTGGCGTAAATTTACAATTATATAATTTTACGAGAAAATGTATGCTAATAATTTATGAATTTTGAAATGCAATTACTTGAAATATAGAAAAATTAAAAAAGAAATACGAGGCCAACGTCGGTGGGTTTAACGTAGGCACCTGTTGACGACAGCCTTACCCCACGGCGCTTAAAAGCACAGCGGATCAAATCAATGCGTTGATCGGCGCCTTGAAAAGGCAGGCATTATTCAGTACCGATTGGTAGTGTGGAATGAATACACTTGGTAGGGTTCGAGGTCTATCTAAAAGCTCTGCCGTACTTTGGGTCCGGCACCTGGTTGCAATGCAATTCCACATTCAACTGACAAAACGTCCGTTCTTCCGCATTTGGGTATCAACCACAACCATCACGATACTCCCCGAAGGGCCAGTCCGCATGGGCAGGTTGGATCGAACTCCAAATGCCCCTGCTCCCCGTGGTACCAGAATTAAGTCTCCGGTCAGACCTCGTAGCCGAAGCTACTACCAGTTGAGCTTCCTTACTGCTCTGGACACGTAACTAGGGGTTGGACCCCATACGCACAATCAGATATGTACTTCGACCACGCCTCATGTTGCCACTATCGCAAGAGAATATCGTCCTATTTTGTTTCGACTGCGTGTGGAAGGGGGCGTCACCATGGATCGATTAATAGATTATACTTAATTTTAAAAGCCTTAGTTTCGCTTTATTAGAATCAAAAAGCATTGGGATGCTGTAGACGGTGATACTTTTCTTTCCATTGCGACCGTTAAACATATTTCCAATGACTGTTATTTACGTAAGCAGAACTGACTCTAATTTTTATTCGGCAAGGGATTGTTTCCTCTGCAAAATGTCTCAACATTTTTGTGACAGTATAACAACAAGAACGATATGGAATTCTTTTTCAGTAATGGCGACAAACCAGGTTTTTATTTGGTCGATGACTGTCCACTCGGCAAGATTTCTTCAAATTATAAGAACTTTTCCTTTGTCTATAACAATAGAAACATCATATTTATTAACAACAATTACTGCTTCGTTATTGTCGCCGATAGCTGAGGTAAAAAGATACACTGATAGAGGTGTATAGACGATACGCATGTATTTTCTACAATCTCTCAACTCTCGCTAAAGTACTTAAGTTATCTAAAAACTTTCTTTACAAAGGGGGCACCCTTGTCCTGCTTACCTTGGAATGGGATCGTGTTGGATCTCCATTGGCATCTTGCGTTCTAGCACGTGAGATCCAAAATAGATTTGTGATACTTTTAAAAATACTTAAAGAAAAGTACGTCACACGAATTTAAAATATTTCGTTATTTCTTTCACAATTCTAATTATTTATGCGAGTTCTTAAATGAGAATGTGCTCTTTAAAAAGGCAATAATATTAATGCCATATTATTATGCACTCAAACAAATCTAAACTAACTACTTGTGGCATATTTCGGAGATTAACATAGTTTGTCCTCACATAATTATCGTATTTTAATTTTAAAATTCCACTTCCGTTGGCATTCAGCATTTAAAGAGAAAAATTAGTTAATTAAAATTTTCCAACTTTCATTATTTTCTACAGGCCCACAAAGAAATAAATTCACAAGCAATCTAACGGCATATTTATAAGCACATATACACACTTATACATACATACATAAAAACAGACTTTTATTCCTGCGAATTCATTGCCTGTGGCACATTCGTCTTGGTGTCTGTGACCTTTGTGGGAAAGGCGTTTCGCAACTTTAACGCCAAAGTGTGTGTTACATGTCAAGCTTTGGTCATTAAAGCCGTATTTGTTAGAGGGGGGCGGGGGGTAAATGAGTACACGTGCTGCTCGAAGTGGTGGCAGTGGGAGTGAGGAAAAGTCTAGTTAATCTTTAGTCACAAGTCTGTTGAGAAAGAATGTTTCACAATGGTTAGAAGTAATCAAGAGCAAATCGAAAATTTACGACAATGCATGGGCATTAAATATATAGAAGAGCTGTAACGGTATTCTAATGGCATTCAGTTGTACGAAAATTACTTAGAAACATGCTTTAAACATGGACCTCGGAAAATATCGTATCAGTGTCACTTGGAGACGAATTAAACAGAGTTAAACTCTTGCTGAAAAGAAAAGGACTCTGGGGATTCATATTCTAGTAAAGGTTTGAATTTGCAGAAAAGCTACAAAGAGCCTAGTATGTGTCAAAAAAAAAAAAAACTGCGAAACCATCAGAAAACTCAAACAGTGATTTAGAATGATTAATTTTCGATGCAAAAAGTTTGAAAGCTATGAGGAATTTTCGAAATTTATAACACAGTGAGATTTCTACATTACATATCTTTCAACTAGAAAAAATATTCGCTAACTTTTTTCTTGTCTCAACTACGTATGTGTTTATTTGCTGATAAAAGACGTTGAGGCCATATATGATCCGTTGTATTGCACAGGTATAAGTTTTAATGAATTTTGTATATGAACTATTTACAGTTAATGCAGATTCTCCGATGCTCCATATAATTTCCTATAAGTTCACAACCACCAAGAACGCTAATATTAGTCTTTTTAAAGAAGAAGTATAAGAGTGCCGCCCAGTAACACTCAAACTGAGCGACTTTCGACCCTAAAAGAGTATAGTGTGATAAGATTTTGACATTTTTTATTAAAACTAGCATCCTTGCAGTAATGCTGGAAACGCAAAGCTATTTCTAATAGTTGTGATCTCCAAACTAATATATCGTTAGCACTTTTAATATAACACAGATAAGTATTCTTAAAATTTTTCTTTCTCATAGAGAGTGCTGCATGCTATATAAATATATGGTTGCATGCTATATAAAAATATGGTACATTTTTAATCTTTTTTTCTCATTTTTTTAATTTTTCATGGATGCTGGTTCGAGCTTCTTATCCTAAGCGGGAAATGGGTCTTGATATTTCCGATAAAACGGACAGCTTTTCATCTTCTGTTTGTAATCCAAGGGCTTTTTTGAGAACTGAAAATATTGTGTCACCAATTAGACATTTAGTATTTCTATTCACAGTCAAACTCTTGAAAAAATATACATACATATATACACATATTCGAGTACATACAATATGTGGCTTGCTTCCTAATCTGAAGCACATTCACATACAATAGAGCATTTACATTTGTATGCAATTTGTTGTCGGTTCTTCATTAATTACATTTACCGAAGGGGGAAACTCAAGAGCATGTTTGGTGGAAACAAAGGCGTATCTTTGTAGATTGGAAATGCCAACACTGTACGTGACTGCATATTCAAGTAGCAATCGAGGAATAGAATGGACCACCTACATGCACACACGTACATACATGCACCACATGCTCATGGTACACTTAAAGAACTCCCTTAAGGATTTGCGGTGGGTGTGGCACATACATGTATATACGTAAAACGAATATGTTTGCGTAAATGACTGGTCCAAATATATGTGTGTGCCACACATACTAATAGGTATACGATAAATCTAAATTTGCTGTGAAAAAGTAATTAGAAATGTGGGAAGAAAACACACAGGTTTTACTCACAAATGGGGAAATATTGGGGACTTTATTAAAATGTAATTTACGAATGCTAATTTTCTGATTACAAAGCACATCATTCTACACTCTCTTCCGTCTGTAATGCACTATTTAAAACAAGGATATGGCGTCTTCATTCTAGCTCACTCTGCCTTTCGAGTCTGAGGTAATCCTCGTTCGCGAAAGGATGCTTCGAGTGAATATTAGACTGCTACTATTTAAGTTTTTCAGCTTTGGAAGTCGCCGTTTGTGATGGCTGGTCAAAGGACATCCTTCTTGTTTGCTTTTTTGTTGCTGAAAATGTTCCATTTGAGATCCAAATGAGCTTAAGGGTTTTCGTCATTTGTTGATTACACTGGAATTAGCCTTTAGCGACGACAACGCTAGCAATGCCACCTGACTATCTGTGTATATGGTTGCAGGTTAAACACCCATCACCGTAAAATGCTGGCCTAAAAAAATAATCGTTAAATATGATCCATTTGAATTTTACTTATGATTACTTCTGTCGAACACAATATTCCTAATTTAGGATATTTTTGTCTTTGGTATAAAGTTGGAAACTGATGAAGTGCATTTCCAAATCTCTAGGTCTTGTTCAACGTACGATCGATCTCCTTTTTTACTTGGAGCGAGTCATGTTTGGCCGGAGACTGTGGTGTGGTGAGATCTAAAAAACCAAATTCCTATTCGCACAGTCAGACTCTAGCATAGGTGCGCACTAATCTTTTTTGTGTTGTTTCAAAGTGTGCGGGACAAATCGAGCACAAACCTTTCTGAGGCCCAAATTTTCTGTCAAAATACAATAAATCGACGCTGCGGATATTGATGATTTCGATTCCATATATTTAAGCGATGATTTCGGCTCTTTTTTAATGAATTCGCGCACAACTACCGTGTTTTTTTCGTTCACAACATCTTTTGGCCGGCCCGAACGTTCGTCGTCTTCCAAGTCCTCCCGTCCGTTTATACGACAACACTGAAGAATACACAATTGAGGGATAACAATAGAAGCCACGTTTTTTAAAAAGTCCTGGAACTTTTGAATTGTACCTTGTACGTTTTCTATCAAACCTTTGTTGAGTTAACATCGAGGCCATGA